TGGCAACTAGCAGTCAGTTCTTTGTATTTACAGTTTCAGTTTGTTCTCTTGTCTGGGGGATTTCTTAGATGTAAGTGAGACCCCCCCCAGCACTTGTCTTCCTCTGACTTACTCCACATAGCGCAGTGCCATTAAGTCCCGTCTGTGATGCTGCAGGTGGCCGCACGCCCTTCCGCGTGGCTGAGCGGTGCCCGCTGTGTGCGCCCGCCACGTCTGCATCCTTTCATCCCCTGCTGGACACTTCACGTGGCTGCCTCTGCGTCTTGCTTTTATAAATAATGCTGCAGTGAACATGGGGCTGCGTGTGTCTTTTCGAGCTAGTGTTTTATTTTCTTCAGCTAAACACCCAGCAGTGGGACTGCAGAATCACATGGACCTAGTTTTAATCTTTTGAGGAACTTCTGTGCTGTTTTCCATAGTGGCTGCATCAGTGTATGTTCGCGCCAACAGTGCACAAGGGCTCCCTTTTCTCCACACCTGCACCAGCGCTTGTCTCCTGTCGCTTTTGGTTTTTTTTTTAACATTTTTTATTGATTTATAGTCATTTTACAATGTTGTGTCAAATTCCAGTGTAGAGCACAATTTTTCAGTTACACATGAACACACAGATATTCATTGCCACATTTTTTTCTCTGTGAGCTACCACAGGATCTTGTATATATTTCCCTGTGCTACACAGTATAATCTTGTTTATCTATTTGTCCCCTGTCGTTCTGATGACAGCCGCCTGGCAGGTGTGAGTGGCGTCTCACTGGTTTTCATTTGCATTTTCCTGGTGATCACTGACGCTGGGTGTCTTCTCGTCGCCCAGCGTCTGTTGTCCGTCTCTGTGTCTTCTCCGGGGAAAGTGTCTGTTCAGATCCTGTGCCCGTTTTTTAATTAGATTGTTTGCTTTTTTACTGTTGAGTTGTATGAGTTCTTCGTATGTTTTTGATATTAACATTTTATCAGATGTATGATTTGCAAGTATTCCCTCCCACGTGGTGGGTTGCGTTTCCGTGTCCTTGATGATTCCCTTTGCTGTGCAGAAGCTTTAGTTTGGTGTCGTCCCCCTTCTTCATTTTGGCTCTTGTTGCCTTTGCTTTTAGCATCCACTCCAAAAAATCATCACCAAGACTGAAATCAAAGAACTTGCTACCTATGTTTTCTTCTAGGGGCTTTATGGTTTCAGGTCTCACATTCCAGTCTTTAATGCATGCTGGGTTAATTTGTGTGTGTGGTGTAAGGCTCTGGCCACAGTTGCATAGAAGTTTCGTTCTCTCACGTGTGACTGTCCAGTTTTTGTAACGTCACTTATTGAAGAGATTGTCCTTACTCTGTTATATATTCTTGACTCCTTTGTCGTGAATTAATCAATCATGTGTGTGAGGATTTATTTATGGGCTCTCTTTTGTGTTCACTGATCTGTGTGTCTATTTTTATTCCAATACCAAACTGCTTTGATTACTGTAGCTTAGTAATACAATTTGAAATTAGAAATTGTAGTACCTCCTGCTTTTTTCTTTCTCAAGAGTGCTTTGGCTGTTTAGGATCTTCTGTGGCTTCATAAATTTTAAGACTTTCTATTTCTGTGGAAAACACTGTTGAAACTTTGATAGAGACTGCATTGATCTGTAGATTGCTTTGGGTAGTCTAGACATCTTAACAATATCAATTCTTCCAGCCCATGGACACAGAGTGTCTGCCGCTTCTTTCATCAGTGTCTTGTAGTCTTCGGTGTAGAAGTCTGTCACCTCCTTGACTAAATTTATTCCTAGGTATTTTGTTCTTTTTGGTGCAGTTGTAAATGGAATTGTTTTCTTAATCTCTCTTTTGAGTTCCTTATTAATGTATAATAACACAGCAGACTTTTTGTCTATTTATTTTGTATCCTACAACTTTATTGAATTTGTTTACTGGTTCTACCAGTTCTGTTTTGCTTTGGTGGTGTCTTTAGGATTTTCTATATATAATATCATGTCTGCAAATACTGACAGTTTTACGTCTTCTGTTTCTATCTGGCTGCCCTTTATTTCCTTTTCTTGTCTGATTACTCTGGCCAGGACTTCCAGTTCCATGTTGAATAAAAATGGTCAGAGTGGGCATCCTTGTCTTGTTCTTGATCTTAGAGGAAGTGCTTTCAGCTTTTCGCCATTGAGTGTGATGTTAGCTGAGGATTTGTCATGTCTGGCCTTTATTATGCTGAGGTGTGTTCTCTCTGTGCCCACTTTGTTGAGAGTTTTCATCATAAATAGATGCCAGATTTTATCAAGTGCTTTTCCCGCATCTACTGAGATCATATGGTTTTTATCCTTTGTTTTGTTAGTGAGGTGTGTCACATTGATTGACTTGCAGGCGTTGAACTGCCCTCGTGTCCTTGGGATTAATCCCACTTGATTATGGTGTGTGAGCCTGGGAATGTATTGTCAAGTTCATTTTGCTAGTATTTTGTGGAGAGTTTGTGCGTCTACGTTCCTCAGGGACGCTGGGCTGCTATTTTCCTTTCTTCTGGTGCCCTTGTCTAGTTTCGGTATCGGTTATTCTGGCCTCGTAGAATAAGTTTGGAAGTGTTCCTTCCTCTTCTGTTTTTTGGAAGAGTTTGAGAAAGACTGGTGTTAATTCTTCTGTGAATATTTCATGGAGCCCATTGGTGAAGCCGTCTGGTCCCCAGCTGTTCCTTGCTGGGAGGGCTTGGAGTCCTGATTCAGTTTCCTTACTAGTAATTGGTGTGTTCAGATTTCCTGTTTCTTCGTGATGCAGCCTGGCTAGGAATTCATCCGTTGCTTCTAGGTTGTCCAGTTTGTTGGCATGTAATTGTTCATAGTAGTCTCACGATCCTTTGTATTTCTGTGGTGTCAGTTGTAATGTCTCCTCTTTCATTTCTGATTTTATTTATCTGCGTTCTCTTTTCTCTTGGTAAGTCCAGCTAAAGGTTTGCCTATTTTGTTTATTGTTTAAAAAAACAGCTCGTAATGTCGTTGATCTTTTGTATTGTCTTTTTAGACTGTTTCATTTCTTTCTTGCTTCTACTTACTTTGGGCTCCATTTGCTCTTCTTTCCCTGGTTCCTTGAGGTGTGAAGTTAGGTTGTATAGTTGAGGTCTTTTCTGTTTCTCATTGCAGGCATTAATTTCTATGAACGTCCCTCTTAGAGCTGCTTTAGCTGCATCCCATGAGTTTGGTATATTGTGTTTCCATTTTCATTTGTCTCCAGGTATTTTTTTAATTTCTCTTTTGATTTCTTATTTGACCAACTGGCTTTTATTTGCTTGTTACTTCATTTTTACATATCTGTGAATTTTCTGGTTTTCCTCTTGTAGTTTGTTTCTGGTGTCACACCCCTGTGGGGAGAAAAGGTCCCTGATGTGGTTTCAGTCTTCTTAAATTTATTATGACTTGTTTTGTGCCAAACATGCGATCTGTTCTGGAGAATGTTTCATGTGTGCTTTGGGAAGAATGTGTATTCACAGTATGATTTTTATGTTTAGATCTTTAGCCAGTTTTACATTTATGTTTATGTGTGGCATGGGTAGGAGTCCAGCCACGGCTGAGCCCAGTTTACCTAATACAGTTCATTGACTTCAAATGCCTCTTGCTCATATTCTAAACCCCACTGCTTTGACTTTATCAATACAGTACTCTGCTAATTAGTGTGCTTTTATACTGTGTTTTATAATCTGGTAGAGAGAGTCTCACATCATTTAGCCGCCTTTGAAATACCTCCTTGGCTCTTTCTGTATATTTACACTTCAGGATAAATTTTAGAATCAATTACCAGGTTTCAAACAGAGCCTTTGAGATTTGGTTTGGAAATGGACTTACAGTATACTTTTAGGTGAAAACAAAATCAGTTTATAAATAATCTGTATAATATCATTGCCATTTTGTTTCTAAAATTACATGTATGTATAAGAAAACAAAATCTCAAAGAATATGTGACAAAACACGTAGCAGTGGTTGTCTCCTAACGCTCGTAGTACAGGTGAGTTTTTGGTGCTTTTCTAAATTGTCTATGATGCATGTGTAATACTTTTTAAATCAGAAAAATGAAACACCCGGAAAAAATGTTATTACACTATATGGTATTTGTTGGTAGTTTAATGATTATCTATTTAACAGAAGCCAAATTAGAATAAAAAATATTTTACGGAAATAAATATGTGACTTGTGACGTGTAGGTTTCTGGCTCAGGATATAAACCAAAGTTGTCCAGAATATTCCTGGGAAAGAGGAAAGGCAAGAAACTCGAGCAGTACCACCTCGTAACCTCCCCACTTACTTTGCACGGTTGAAGGGACTTGAGAGTCGCAGCCGTCTCAGCCAGCAGCACTGCTGGGTTACAGTCTGTGCGGCTTTGTTCACAGGCACCTGTTCACAGGCCCTGACCTCCCTGGCTTCCCTGTTTCAGAGACTCATATTCACAGGGTGCAGCCAGGGCTTGAGGTGCCCCCAGCCTCCATGTCGTCTAAGCCTGGCCCACACATGTGTTGGTCTCTCATCAGCACACAGTAGAAAGAAGATGGCTAGACCTCTTCCCAGCTCGCCAATGTATTTGAAAAAGCAGCGTGCTGCTTCTTGGCCCAGCGCCTAGATTCTATCAACAGTAAAATTGAAATTTGTTTCTTTTTGCATTTTAATCTACATGAGCTTTCTGGGTGATCTTACCTGTTTAATAAAACCAACGGTCATGATAATTATAACATCTAACCCCCACCAAGCGTTTTCTGTGGACCAGGCATTGTGACTACACTGCACGTGGATATCTCACCGAATCATTAAACCAACCCGATAAACAAGCATTCTCGCCCCTTGAGACAGAGGCTCACTTGTATCTATGGGTTTGGCTTGACTTTCCCCAGACCCCACGTGTCAGTGGTACCTGCAGCATGTGCTTCACGCAGCACAGTGCCCTCCACGTCCGTCCACGTCAGCACGAATGCCGTTTCTTTATTGGTGAGCAGTATTTCTTAACCCAGCACACGGAGGGCTGTTTCACTGTATCTGAACCCATCTCTCCTCCAGCTTCAGGACGAGCTGGAGAAGGGCGAGCGGGACAACGCAGAGCTGCAGGAGTTCGCCAACGCCGTCCTGCAGCAGATCGCAGACCACTGCCCCGACATCCTGGAGCAGGTGGTCAACGCGCTGGAAGAGTCGTCCTGACCCCCTTCATGGGGGTGGCCGGTCCCGCAGCCCCATCGAGCAACGCCGGGAGCCAGGAACGGAGGCACAGAGGCTGCTGGGCACCAGACACGCACCGCAGATCTGTCCCGCCTCGCTAGGCCCTCCAGTCCGTCTCCGCCTTTCTCCTCCCGCCGCCGCGTCTGCACTCGTTCCCCCGACGTCCAGGCTGGTGAGTGGCTGGGTCTCCGTGGAAGCTGGCGGCCCTGCCTTTGCAGAGGGACTAGAGGGGGAGCCCGCTTCCCTCTGTCCTTGACCAAGGACTCGATCTGGAATCCACTCAGACGGAGAGAGTGCTTCCCCAGGGACCAGAGGGCTGAGTGTTCTAATCGCACGACAGGTGCTTTCTCCTAAAAGGGTAAAAAAAAAATCTCCAAATGAGTATTAAAACAGAGAGCAGAGAGAAGAGGGAAGAGAGACAGAGAGAAAGGTGACTTCCGTTCTCTCCTGTCTGCTCTCCACGTGTGCCGCTCCTGCGGGGCGTGTGGGTGGGCGGGGTGGCCTGGGGCCGCCGAGCCCAGGCTGGTGTCTCCCCCGCCCCCTCCCCGCCTCCCTGGCCCTCCCGCTTCTCCTCACTTGGCTTACAGGAGGCGGGGCAGTCCCTCTCCGTGAAGACCTTTGAGTGGGTTTGTCTGATCCTGTCTCTCGTGGAAGAGAAGCAGGCTTGGTCATCCCCGCCCGCAGCTCTGCTTCTCAGAAGATTCCCTGGGGTCAGGCTGGTTTCTCCCAAACGTCTCCCTCATCAGCACCGCAGAACCAGAGCCTCAGGCTCTGCCGGAAGCTGCTTCTAGTCCAGATGACTGTTTCTCACCCCGCACGCTTTCCTTCCTCCGTTCTTTCATTTGGCTCATACTTACGAAGTGCCTACTGTGTGCAGGTCACCGTCGGGCACCCATCCGTGCAGAAAGCCTCTTGGTGGTGGGGGGGGGTCAGGGACTCGGCGAGACACACCTGGTGGAGTCAGCAGGAAAAGGCACGCCCCTCCCCTCCCCCATCTTCATAGATGGTGTCTTTTCCAGAAGAGCCTTCCACAGATCAGCATTTCTCATTATGGTGGAATTTATGGGCTTGGGGGCAGGCGGCTGAGTCACTCACTGCCTCCAGCATCCCATCTGGTGACTCAGGATCTGGGGGCTGTGTTACCCTGAACAGTGTGCCGTTCACAGTGCCACGGTCGTGGGCAGTGTTTTCTTTGCACAGCTGTGCGCACCTCGTGGAACACGGCCAGCTCCGTGTTGCAAAGCAGAAAATTGACCCCAAAGTTGCAAATCCGGCTGAAGGTGTTGGCATTTTCCCCACGCACGGCGGTGGCCTTCAGAAGTCACCAGGCACCAAGAAGTAGACCACTTACCCCACATCTAGGCCTTTGACCACCCCTGCGGCCAGGCCCCCAGCAGACACTCGTCCTCTGATAAGAGTTGCCGGCCTAAATGCTTCCGTCTTGCGTGGTCTCCTTTCTGCTTCCCTGGTTGCCCAGAGAGTCTGTGCTGCCCGTCCAGTCACCACAGCCGTCAGGCCCAGCTTCCCACCGGCAGCCCATGACTGTCCCGCTAACTTACATGGTCAGGCCTTCCGCTGCCCTGCTTCCCTGTGTGGAACGGCCTCTCGCTGCAAGAAGCTGTCGAGTGCTCCTCGAAGGGTCCGGTGGACTCAGCTTGTAAATTCGGACTGAGATGCCTCCTCTTAGGCAGGCTGGCTGGAGGAGGGGTGCAGCAGCGGGGAGGCAGGAGGCGGTGGCCATTCGTGGTCAGATACCTCCATTCCACGTATTTGCTGTGCTGCCCACATATCAGGTAGGAGGCCCTTGGTGCCAGGGCTGGAGTCGTGGAGTCCCCTGTGACCCACCACGACGTGGAGATGGACAGACGGCGCCACCCTTGCAGGACCACAGCGGAACAGAGACGGCAGCCTGGCCCCGCCGGCCGACCTGTGGCCCCAGGCAGGTCCCGGTCCCGCTGACACCCCTGTACCGTCAGATCCTATCCTGACCCCGCCGCCTGCCCACTGGGCCGGGGCTCCCCTCGCCTCCTTCCTGCTCCGTTTCATCTCGGCCCTTCCTGATGCCCCCTCCAGAGCCGGTCAGGGTTCCTCTGGACACATGCCTCTGAGAAGGACAGTCTGGGCGACTCCTTCTGTCTGGTCCCCGACTTCGGTGGAGCCTCTGCGGTGCTTCCTCGTGCCCCTCCTGGCATCTCAGTGGTTCTGGGGCCCGTGTGGTCCCAGGTGAGCGAGGCTCTGGCTGAAGTTTACGTGAACAGCGACGCGCCTGCACGCTCCGGGGCAGAGTTGACAGCGTTTCTGGCACTTGAGGGCCTTGCCCAGTTTGGATCATTCATGGGGCCGACATTGCTAAGCGCACGGCTCCCCTCACACAAGGTTTGCCGTCTGCGACCTCTTCATGGTTTCACACAGCCTCGTGGCTGCTACGGAAGACGTGCAATCTTGACTCACGCAGGCTGCCTGCCGTGTCCCCAGATGCGTCCACCCCGTCGGCTGGTCCCACTGCCCCTCAGCACCAGGAGCTCTGTGCCCCAAATCAGTCGTCATAACGGGAGCGAGAGGACTCCCACCTGGGCCTCCCGACTAAGAAAAGCAACACGACCTTCTCGGGGGGGTCACCCCCCCACTCCCGGGTCCCCACCTGAGTTCTTCATGACGTCTCTGGGTTGAGACTCACGAGGGCTCCGATGCTGTTTGAAGTGGGAAAGGTGGGCTGTGGCAGACTGAGAGCCAGGAAGGCAGGTGGGACCCACCACCCTCCGGCGTCAATAGTGGCAACAGGGCTGGCGCCTTGTGTCGGTGGAATCCGCTTGGTTTTCCAGGAGCAGCTCATCAGCTCAGCCCCTCCACCGAGTGAGGGCAGAGGGAGTCGCTA